ATACTTTCTCAGGATTTGGTTATTTGGGGAGGTTTTTTCTTTCCTTTGTTTTTTTAAATTTGGTGGGACATTTTTGCTGATGGCATTCATCTCACTTAATAGCTATTTTGGTTTTCAGGACTTTGATGGTATCACAGTTTCCTTGAGGCCTGCAGAATTTACATTGACAAATTCACAGGTTATTTTATAAGAAGACTATGCTTATAAATGACACATCACTTTTGTCTTGCAGGTTCTAAGACTTTCTTATCTGTGACTTTTGAAATTGTGCTCATATATGTGTCTGTTACAATATCTTGTGTAGACTAGGTTTTTGTTTTCTTTTTTGTTTGTTTTTTAGATGGAGTCTTGCTCTTTTGCTAGGCTGGAGTGCAGTGGCACAATCTAGGCTCACTGCAACCTCCGCTCTCGGGTTGAAGCAATTCTCCTGCTTCAGCCTCCTGAGTAGCTGGGACTACAGGCACATGCCACCATGCCCGGCTAATTCTTGTATTTTTAGTAGAGATGGGTTTCACCATGTTGGCCTGGTGTCGATCTCTTGACCTGGTGATCTGCCCACTTCAGCCTCCCAAAGTCCTGGAATTATTTACAGGTGTGAGCCACTGCACCCAGCTGCTAGTTTGTTATTTGAACTTCTTTTTTATATCATTTTTCTTGCTATTAGAATTTTTCAGTTATTTTTAAGTTTACCTCCACAATTTGTTTTTTGATATTTTTTAAAATTTTGGTGTTATTTTTATTTGTCTGATTTTCAGTAATTGTTTCTTTTTCACTGATACAGTGTTATTTACTTTGTTTTCCATTCCTAAAACTAATCTATACATCTTTATTTTTTAATGATTGCTTTCTGAAAATTTTCTAATTTTTATGATGGGGCCATGTTGCCGTAATATTTTGTATACATTGTAATCTTTGATTTGAGATTTGGACATTTTAAAAATGCTACCTGTCAGCCGGGCGCGGTGGCACATGCCTGTAATCCCGGCACTTTGGGAGGCTGAAGCAGGCGGATCACATGACATCAGGAGTTTGAGATCAGCCTGACCAACATGGAGAAACCCCATCTACTAAAAATATAAAAAATTAGCAGGCATGTGGTACATGCCTGTAATCCCACTACTCTGAAGGCTGAGGCAGGAGAATTGCTTGAACCTGGGAGGCAGAGGTTTTGGTGAGCCGAGATCGCATCATTGCACTGCAGCCTGGGTAATAAGAGTGAAACTCCATCCCAAAAACAAAACAAAACAAAAATGCTATCTTCACAGTATTTATAATGTTGCTTTCTCCTGGCATAGTCTGAAACCAGTTGTCTTCGCTAGAGATTCTAGGAGACTCAAATGTGTTCTCAGGATGTTTCTTATCTAAAAGTTGGTGTTTATTTTTTAGTTAAGAGAGTTTATTCCTGTTTCTTCCTAATCCTAACCATTTCTTACACCTGTTCCTTGCCTGTGGTGCTGCAGTCTCTCTGCTGCTGTAACATTTACCTTCAATCTCATCAGACTCGAACTGTCATGCCAAAGTATACCATTGTTTCTTTCAGCACTTTATGTCATGGGAGACAAAAAACTGTGTCAAGAAAGAACCACAGAGGTGAGAAATGAAGGCGTGTCTTCCAGTATTTTTCTTGACTTTTAAAGCAGAAACCAGGACTTGGCAATTTACTTTTGAAGGCACTGTGTTATACTGAAGAGTAAAAAGACCTCTTTTGGGTAAAAGAAAGTCTTTTATTTCTATTCTGTGTGGCTCTTTGCATTGTACTCAGCAGGGGCACTGCACACACTTAACTCATTTATAAATTTTCCACAAATGCATTTTGATAAGTATATGTGACATGTATATATTTATTTAAAAAATTAGAACCTGTGGTATTTTGCTGTGTCATCTTGCGTATGTAGTTTGTATAATTTTAGAGGTTAGATTTGTTAAGTATATTCACCTGAGTCTAGTAAATGGAATAATTTTTTGTTTTGATTTTTTTTTTTAGTTCTGTGTTCTCATTTTGCCAAAGGCCTCTGCCCAGAGAAAGACATAAAAGTTTTTTTCCAAAAAGTGATACCGAGGCGATATGATAAATATGAACATGAGAACTTAACAATTAAGGAAAGTCTATAAACGTGTTGATGAGTGTAAGTTGAACAAAAGAGGCTATAATGAACTTAACCAATGTTTGACAACTCCCCAGAGCAAAATATATCAATGTAATGAAGATGTGAGAGTCTTTCATAAATTTTCAAATTTAAATACACATAAGACAAGACATACTGGAATGAAACCTTTCCAATGTGAAGAATGTGGCAAATCATTTTGTACACTTTCACATCTAACTCGGCATAAGATAATTCACAGTGGAGAGAAACCTGACAAATCTGAAGAATCTAGGAAGGCCTTTAGTGTGTCCTCAACCCTTACTACACAGAAGAAAATTCATACTGGAGAGAAACCATACAAATGTGAAGAATGTGGCAGATCCTTTAAGAAGTCCTCATACCTTACTAAACATAAGATGATTCATACTGGAGAGAAGCCCTACAAATGTGAAGAATGCAGCAACGCCTTTAACTGTTCCTCACATCTAACTCGGCATAAGATAATTCATACTAAAAAGAAACCCAACAAGTCTGAAGAATGTAGGAAAACCTTTAGTGTGTCCTCAACCCTTACTCAAAATAAGAGAATTCATATTGGAGAAAAACCCTACAGATATAAAGAATGTGGCAAATCCTTTAAGAAGTCCTCACACCTTACTACATATAACATAATTCATACTAGAGAGAAACCTTACAAATGTGAAGAATGTGGCAAAGCTTATAACTGGTCTTCAACTCTTATTAAACATAGGAGAATTCATACTGGAGAGAAACCCTACAAATGGCAAGAATGTAGGAAAGCCTTTAACCAGTCAATTCTTAGTAAACATAGGAGAATTCATACTGGAGAGAAACCCTACAAATGTGAAGAATGTGGCAAAGCTTTTAAGCAGTCCTCAATTCTTAGTAAAAATAAGAGAATTCATACTGGAGAGAAACCCTACAAATGTAAAGAATGTGGCAAAACCTTTAAGCAGTCCACAGACCTTACTACACTTAAGAGAATACATACTGGAGAGAAGCCCTACAAATGTGAAGAATGTGACAAAGCTTTTAACTGTTCCTCCCACCTTACTAGACATAAGAGAATTCATACTGGAGGGAAAGCCTAAAAATGTGAAGAATGTGGCAAAGCTTTTAACTGGTCCTCAAACCTTACTAAACATGAGAGAATTCATACTGGAGAGAGCCCTACAGATGGGAAGAATGTGTCAGAGCCTTTAACCAGTCCTCAATCCTTACTAAACCTAAGAGAATTAATACTGGAAAGAAGCCCTGCAAATGTGAAAAATGTTACAAAGCCTTTCACCAGTTCTCAACTCATACTAAACAGAATTTGACTGGGCGTGGTGGCTCACGCCTGTAATCCCAGCACTTTGGAAGGCCAAGGCGGGTGGATCACGAGGTCAAGAGTTCGAGACCATCCTGGCCAACATGGTGAAATCTCCGTCTCTACTAAAAAATACAAAAATAAGCTGGGCGTGGTGGCACATGCCTGTAGTCCCAGCTACTTGGAAGGCTGAGGTAAGAATTGCTTGAACCCAGGAGGTGGAGGTTGCAGTGAGCCAAGATCACGCCATTGCACTCCAGCCTGGCGACAGAGCAAGATTCCATCTCAAAAAAAAATAAGAATTCATATGGAAAATAAACCCTACAAATGTGAAGAATGTGAAAAAGTTTAAGTTCAGGGATGCATGTGCAGAACTACAAGTTTGTTACATAGGTATACCTGTGCCATGGTGGACAGCTGCACCTATCTGTCATCTGGGTTTTAGGCTCCACACGCATTAGCTATTTGCTTTTCCCCACATCCCCCCGCTTTGAGAGGCCCCCATGTTTGTTGTTCCCCTCCCGGTGTCCATGTTTTCTCATTGTTCACCTCCCACTTATGGGTGAGAATAAATGATGTTTGGCTTTCTGTTCCTGTGTTAGTTTTCTGAGGATGCTGGCTTCCAGCTTCATACATGTTCCGAAAAGGACAAGATCTCATTCCTTTTCAAGGTGTGTATGTACCATCTTTTTTTAATGCAGTCTATTATTGATGGGTATTTGGATTGGTTCCATGTCTTTGCTCTTGTAAATAGTGCTGCAGTAAACATATGTGTGCATGTGTCTTTATATTAGAATGATTTATATTCCTTTGGTTATATGCCCAGTAATGAATTGAATTGCCGGGTCAAATGGTATTTGTGGTTCAAGATCCTTGAGGAATCACCACTGTCTTCCACGGTGATTTAAGTAATTTAGAATGTGGCACAGACTTTCTGCTTTTGTTTTCAACCAAGTTTTGCTCATTGCCTCATTGTTGCCCATGCTGGAGTACATGGTGCAATCTCAGTTCAACACGATCTCCACCTCCTGGGTTCAAGTGATTCTCCTGCCTCAGCCTCCCACAGTGCTGGGATTACAGGTGTGAGCACCACGCCGGCCTAATTTTTAGTTCTTAAAAGACATAAGATAATTTATACTGAATAGAAACTACAAACCTGAAAGATGCGACAGTGCATTTAACAACACCTCAAATTTTTCCAAATATAAAAGAAATCATACTGGTGCAAAACCCGAGTAATATGAAGAATGTTACAAAGCCTTTAAATGGTCGTCACCGTTTATTGTGCTAAGATCATTCATACTGGAGAAAACTCCCAAGTGTGAAGAATATGGTAAAATTTACATGCTCACACCTTATTGCACAGGAAAACATTTATGCTTGGGAAAACATGTACAAACATAAAGGATGTGGAAAAGGCATTAATATCTCCTCACTTCTTAACATCAGAAAGTTCATACTTAAAAGCATTATAGGTGCAAGTCCTGTAAAGTCATCTTTCAGAAAATACAGGCCTTCAAAGTACGGTATTTATTCTGAGGGCAGTTACAAAGAGGACTGTAGTATTTTTACATACATCACAGATCTTATTGTACACATTTTGTATTAGAGGAAAACCCTGAAGCAATTGCTCAAACTGTTCATCATCTTGGAATTTTTAAAAATCCAGCAAATGTAATAAATTTGAAAAAAAAAAAAACAACTTTTTTTTTCTTTTTCATGAACAGCCTAGAAAACACTGGAGACCTGATACTAAAATACATTATTGCAGATGTAATAAGTATGAAAAAATATTTAGGTTGGACATGGTGGTTGACGCCTGTAATCCCAGCACTTTGGGAGGCCAAGGCAGGCGGATCACCTGAGGTCA